AGTGTATGACGTCACAGACTCCAAAAAATAATCGTAAAAATATCACACTTTCGTCCTGAATATTGAGAAAACACTTCATACAGTGATTATTGGACCTTTAAAGAGTATTCTTAGGAAGTTTCAGCTGAATCCAAGTTTGAGCGATTTTCGTCGTAGTAGCACTTTAATGGCTGCTCATAAAGAATAAATGAATATGGATCAAAGAATCATATTCATATGGGAATGACATGCATTATGAAATGTGAAAACGTTACTGTTGTCTAAAACTAAAGAGGTGTACTGAAGACTTCTTTTTAGTGAGTCACAGTACAAGGAACCAAAATATTGGAAAATTGTAGTGGCACCATCACAGCATGGCACATTCAATGAACCATGTGACAAATTTTACAATCATAAACGTTCTGTTCTAGCAGAAGAAAGAATTGAAATTACCTGGAAATTCTAATTGATGTGGTAATGAATAAAAGTTTGGATGGTTAAAGAGGCTACTGGATGATGAAGAACCAGCCATGCTTCTGGAGGTTGATGAGGAAGGTGGCATGATCACAGAGCTTGATGACACTCTCTTAGGGTAGCCATTAATGCTACTGCTTATTTTAGTACTGCTGATTTGCTCTCTGAAACAGCATGAAAGTCACATTAAAACAAATTAATCTCCAGATATAGTAGTCGTTTTTTATAAATTATAAAATTATTATTATTATTGTGAATAGAATGGGGGTTCACAGCAGCAAAACAGAAAATTTCTTCACAAATTTCATAAGGCAAGTAAAAACCTGTGCATAGAAGTGTGCGAATACATTACATTAATTTGGTCATATTTTCGTGCATCACAGTGTAACAGATAATTCAATATTGGATGTTTTGACTCACCTATAAAGACTCATATCAGTATCCATACTTTTGTCATCATCACCAGCATCTATACCTTCATCTCTCTCTTCATCATCATCATCATCATCATTATCATCATCATCAGTGTCATCATCATCACTATCACTATCACCAGTAAGATCGATTATTTCTGCTTCCCTTTTCTGAAATGAGCTCGTTTCCGAAGAAGCTGAGGGAAAAAAACAATTTCAAGAAATAACGAATGAGCAAGAGGTGTTTTTGACTTGGTGTCTAACAAAAAGCAGAGAAGAGAACCAACATCAAGCAACTCCAACCACATATGGTGGCAGGTCCAGAGATTTAACTCATGACTATGACAATAAGAGGCCTACAACACGTCAGTGCTCCACATTAACTAAAGTCCACTTGCCTGGAACTAGTATATCTTTGCTGCGGACTAGTGAAAATTAAGACATACTAGTCCATAGGCTAGTGACTTTTTGGATTATTAACTATCTGGGCTAGTAGATTACTCTGCTGGGCTACTGGACTTACTAGCCCATTGCATGGTATCTAGAAATATTTGAGTCGAGCACTGCATGGATATGCAATATACCTTTGATAACTGATTTTTGAAGTGAATTATTTGAAGCTATTATGGCTTTAACTGCTGCTTTGCTCTCTTGATCTGTCAGATAAAAAAGATGTTATCTAGTAAACAACAGTTATATGTACAAAACTTGTAATATAATAAAAAGGGAAGGGTTTTCAGTTCTACCCCCACAAGTGGATGAAATATTAGTACAGTTTGATTCACATTATACAGTGTCTTAGAATTGACTAATGATTGCACAATAGTTAAAGACGAGATATTGATTATAATTTTACTACAGTTTGCCTCATATTATACAGTGTCTTAGAATTTTCCAATGATCGCACAATAGTTAAAACGAGATCTTGATAATTTTACAACAGTTGCCTCACATTATACAGTGTCTTAAAAGTGGCTAAAGATTGCACAATAGTTAAAGAAGAGATCTTGATGATAATTTTACTACAGTTTGCCTCACATTATACAGTGTTATTATAAGAGGCCAATGATTGCACAATAGTTAAAGACAAGATTTTGATGATAATTTTACAACAGTTGCCTCACATTATACAGTGTCTTAGAAGTGGCCAATGATAGCACAATAGTTAAAGACGAGGTCTTGGTGATAATTTTACTACAGTTGCCTCACATTAAACAGTGTGTTAGAAGTAGCTAATGATTGCACAATAGTTAAAGACGAGGTCTTGATGATAATTGAAACATTCTTTCTTTATACCGTAATTTTTTTCCTCATATTTGCTCACCTTGACCATCTTGATCAATAGGTCTCCATGAACCATCTTCGTAAAAAGCAATCTCTTTACAGTGAGCACTATCTAGTATCTCTCTGAACAACCTGTGAATTTATTGATAGATTGTTGGAATTAATAAAAAGAATATCCATGGGTATAATGTTAATATATTTTTAGATTTTAATATCTAGTGAGTAAGAAAACCTACCCATCCAAGAAGATATCTTTGTAAAGTGCTTTTTTATCGCAAACAGGACATACCCAAGTTGTTTTCCTACAAAAAATGAAAATATATTTTGTAATGCTTTTTTATATTTAATACAATTCTCATTGCAATCATCAACATTCTCCTAATAAGAGCATCATCTACATCATTATCCAAGTTCACACTTATTATCTGACTTCAATATCATCTTCATCATAACCACCACCACCACCATTTTCATCATCATCATCCTCCATGGTCACATTTATTATCTTCAATATTATCTTGATCATAATCACCACCACCACCACCACTACCACTACTATCATCATCATTCTCCATGGTCACATTTATTATCTTCAATATTATCTTGATCATAATCACCACCACCACTACCACTACTATCATCATCATTCTCCATGGTCACATTTATTATCTTCAATATTATCTTCATCATAATCACCACCACCATCACCACTACCATCACCACCATCTTCATCATTCTCCATGGTCACATTTATTATCATCAATATCATCTTCATCATAGTCACCACCATGCCGCAATCATTATGCATTAAACTAGTCTGAGCAAGTTTCAGCTGAGAGTATGACGTGACAGTAAGTGTCTTACCGTTCATTCATCTGCAGATAGAGAGCCAAATCAAAACACTGTAGATGATTACATGTCGATGCCCTGTCAAACAAAAGTCCATATTTATATGATTTATGATTAATGATTTACAATATAGTGCCCTTTCTATATGTATGTAATCAAAGGCATTTAACATTGAGTTGTGAATGACAGATTGCTTTTTATGCAATTTACAAGCATGAGAGATGGTTAGTATGAAATGCAGGCATTGAGGGTGGTCACTTCCAGGGTTTCTTTACATCCTCAGTGGTACTTTTATGTCCCTCTGATATTGGTTATATCAACAGAGGGATAATTTTCATTTTGATTAAGAATTTCTCCTCACCTGCATGGTAGCGTCATTCTCGTTTTCCCAAGCTTTAAGATAAAAGAAAATTAAGTTAGAATTAATCCTTCTTGTTTAACATGAGCCCCTGGTCCTCTTTCAGAATAATTTTTAGTGCATAAAGGGTATGAAATTAGATCATATATCTCCAACAGTATTTAAATATTTTAGAAGTACCACAGGTCTGTCAGAATAAACCATGTGTTGGCCTCGCCAAATAAAGTTGATTATTATATAATTACCAATGAAATATCTATTTTTCTCTATTTCGAAAAAATTGTTATCTTCACACGTGAAAATAACACCATTGTGATGGCTATTCAAAAATACACGGAAAGAATTGTTTGAAAAAGCCAAAACATACTTCATTGATAATTATATAATAAACAGAATATTACATGGGCGCTTGGAGATACGAAATTTATCTTCTCGTGTTGAAAATCTCTCACTCGTTCGCTGCGCTCACTTGTGAGAGATCTTTTCAACACTCGAAGATAAATTTCGTATCTCCGCGCGCCCATGTAATATCCTCTATTTATTAAAAAATGCTAATTATACTTACYGGACAAAGTAGCGTTACTCGAAGACTTGTCGTCGCAACTTCACTTTCAGGGTCATGAGCTAGCTTTTCCTTGACTGCAACAAACAAGAAATTACATCATATGTTATTTATAGATCTTGTTTGTAAAATGTTGGGTAATGATAAGATATGGAACATAAAAACTTACTTAATGCTCTTGAATGATCAGGGTTTCTGTATCCTTTTGCTTTCAATTTTTGCATCAAACAGCTAGAAGTAACTTGTCTTACTTGCCGAATTACTACAACATGCCGCTGAGGGACATAAAAGAAATTTAAAAAATATTAATGAAAGTCTTATTTCTCGTATAATATTTTTGCAAAAAAAAAAATTCATGCTGGTTCATGAACTTCTGTCAGAGTGCTTTCAGTATGAGTTGCAAACACTACAGCAAATTTGTATTGGTACTGTAGCTGTCTCTTACCATATCAGTAACTAAGTGTTATGGGTGGATTAATATTACTGGAACACAAGTATGTCATACCATGTACTTGCTGTAAATGAATGCTGTATGTTTTTTACTCATATGAAAATCGCTCTAATAATTATTGAACTAGTAAATTTGATGTCTCTTATTTGCAATTTTATAACATGTTTGCAATTAAAATCATACCTGCCCATTTCTGGGTGTCCAAGTGATATGAACATGATTAGGGACAGTAGAAGATAATCGACAAAGAGAAGTAATATTGATAGGTCGACTGGGACGTTTTGCTTCTGTGGTGCCAGGGGGAACATAACCCTGAAAATTAACATACATTATAAAATAAACATTTGGTTTAATAATGAAGAGAAACACAACCACTAAATGAAAATGTATTTAATACAAGTTAATTATTGGGTTACATGGTCAAATTCACATTTGACGAACATTTWAAAAAAATCATATTAAAATTTTATCAATGCCCTGAAACAACCTCTGGGCCAATTATAGTAAAGGCAGGCTAATTCACAGATTTAAGTTGGAGTTTTGTTCATCGAGGAAAACTGTAACCCCCTGAGAAAACTATCTAGGGACAGACCTAACAAACTCTGCTTACAATATGATGCAAAAAATACAAAAAAATAAGTGTGTTTCCTGTTGCATGAGAAAAATAATTGGGGTTGGTAGGTCTGATTTTTTTTACTGATACAACAATGAGCTTACTGGGAACCCTGTGGTTCATTTGGGAATGAAAAAAATATAAGAAAATTAGAGTCGGTCACACAACAGGAAACACACTTATTTTTTTGTTTGGCCTAGGTTCAGCAATTGAGCCCCAGAGGTGAGAGGCTAAATGCAGTACTACTACACCACCCTTGATTTCCTTATGTCAATAGCTGACGTCAGTGTGAACATCCCTATCATAAAGTTCATTAATTTATAATTAATACTCACAGGTAATGGACAGATCTTCCCATTGACTTTGACACATAAAGAGGATGGAAAATTGTCTTCCTGTTCACAACTTGTTTCAAATAAACAAAATCTAGGAAATAACAAAAATAGTCAAGGAACAATGAGTTACTTGTTACCATGACAATGCTAGGTCATTTCGATTTAATATAAGCAGACAATAAAAATCAGTTTTGAATGCTTATTTCATTGTTGTTTATTGACATACCTTATTTGTACTTGAACTGTGTATTCATTTTTGGAGTTTGGTCTTATATCTCTGTTAACAAATCAACAAGATTACCAAAATTACCAAATTAACAAAAAATTCTGGAAAAAAAATGTGTTATATCACAGTGTTTGACAACCACAACAAAACCAGTCTTCAATCTTCTGAATTGAAGTTAATTCTTCGAGGACTGGGGGGAAAAGACAGCAAAACCCAGAGAAAAACCCTCGAAAATATAGGAAATAACCAACAAGGTACTCTACTTATATGATGGCATGTCCGAGTATCAAACCCATGTGACCCAGCAGTGACAAGCAGCCTATCCAACCCATGCATCCATAAAACTTCCCTAGTCTATAGAGGAAAGCCATTAAGTTTTCTCCTGATTTATTCGTATATACCTAGAAGTAGTTATTAGGTTGACTTGTCTAGGGGTAAGGTGAAACACTACATATGATTCTTGAAATTGGGACATGCCTCGTGGAACTGAAATGCAAATATAGAAAGATACAAATTAATCACACAGATTATAAGAGTAATACTCTAGTTAGCAAATGTCACAGGGATCTCTAAGGCATGTTGATATTTTATTTTGGCAGCACACTAACTACACTAACTACAAATAAATAATGCCTTTGTACAATTTAAAAACAAGACCTGAAGCCTGAATGGTATTTTGAAGATAGCAAACATGCTGGATTGTGGTCTAGCTTGCATATAAACGTATTTTGTTCCTCATGCCTGATATCGTTTTGTTTGTACCCAAGCTAGACCACAATGCACCATGTTTATGGAACTTAGATATGCATATAGAAGGCCACAAGGAAGTATGGTATCCTTTATGGCATAAAACATCAGGGCATAAGAATCAGGGTTAGAGAAGAAAAAAAACACACAACTGTAGTAAGGTTGGTTGTATTTTCAATGGGATCCTTCATATCACTCAAAATCCCTTAAGATATGAATAACAATGGAACAGCTGCCATGTTGGTTGATCTAACAAGAGAAGTTAATGAGGAATGCTTTGTTATCATCAACCAACATGGCAGCTATGAAATAAAATGCAATTTATACTTGTAAGGGAACGTTTATTATTAGAATCAAAATGATGAATAATCGAATGATTGTCTGCTTACAATGAATCACCAACTGAGGTTTAAAAAAAAAACAAATAAGCAAGGAAAAAAGGAAAAGTAGAGATAACGAATGAAGGAAAGTGCTTATATCATCATAAACTTTTTTCCTGTTCGTGTTGTTACTTGTAAAAATGTTTGAAAAAAAGTCTTACGAAATTGAAAAAAACTTTGATTATAATTTAATGTTCTATATTTTACCTATGATTCTATTCGGTTATTTTGACATTTAACGCAAATATTCTTCATTTACAAACCATAAAATACAAGTCGAGTATGTTATATTTTCACGCAGATTTTGCGTAATCCTTGAATGTAAACATTCAGTTCCCATTTTCACCCATTCGTATTGGAGGGAAAATTATCATATCATTAAGAAATTCAATAAATAAGCGAAAAGGATGACCTYTATTGTCTTTTCTTTGGGATTTGAGGCTTTTATAACGACGTTTAAGTAGGTAAGATGTATTTTTATTAGCGTATTTCGTTGGCATAGATAACAGCAACAACGAAATGTTACGCGATATTCACTCAATCGGAGTTGTCATTTTGATGGAATTATCAATACCCTTACCGAGCCCTTTATTAAATTCCTTAAATATAACAATAATATTTCTTACCTAGACTAGTAGGACGTACCAAATCGTCGATATATTCAAAAAAAGGTAGAGAAATTAGACGGACATCAGGATGGACAGGAATACCGTTTGGAGGTTCACGACCTCGTACGGGAACACTTTGTGGGACAATACAAACTCTTCCAGGTGGAGCAGCTCTTGGTGGAGGAGAGGATAACTTTCTTGGATATCTCTGACGGTATAAATCTTTAATTTTGGCTCGTATTTGATAATTTCCTTCGCATTTTAGTAACTGTAACGCTCGCCCCATAAGCTCATGTTTTCGACCGGATTTCGACCGCCCAGCAAAGCCTAAAAGTACTTGAAGTTCTGACACCCTAAACCCCATCAACATATGCTGAAATTTTGAAAATAAACCAAAGTAAGTATGTAGTATAGATTTGTGGTGGGAAAATAAGCATTCATAATAGTTTTAAGGGTTTTTCTTACCCGTAATTCCGCTACTTCGTCCATCTTTCAGTTACACTCAAAGAAATATTAAAAATGACGCATGCGCCCAACGTACTTCACAGRCCCTTTCACTCGGATAACTACCAACAAAGGCACCCCAGAAATAAAAACAAACTTTCGCTTTTACTTCCTCATATTTTTTTGCAGATTCCTACTTCATCACATTAGGGAATAAATTGAGATTTCTTTACGTAGATAAATGTATATGAAACCAGAATTTTTCAAAGGAGGAAGAAGGAAATTCAAGCGTTTCATTTACCGCTCAAAAGGTCATGTGATCTATTGCGTCACTGTTATTTTTAGAACAGAACTGCATAACCCTTTACGCACGTATTCGCTTCCCACTCACTAAAAAGATCAATAAAACAAACAAAAACTGTGGAAAAAGCAAAAAGAAATGAATGATTAGACTTTAAGCCGATTTGGTAACGCATATATTGGAAATCCGAAACCGGACTTTTGACTCAAGTTTCCACCCTAAGGCTATTTTTAATTTTGAATATTTATTTTTGTTAAAAGAATGCGACGACTTGCGTCAAAAGAACACATTTAAAGTTAAAGTCAATCACGGAGAGTAATCTCATCAATCCTTGTCTTAGGATTTTTTTTACAAAAATTTTTTTTCCAGAAGTCTACCCAAAAAAAAAACAAGCGAATATAGACACTATAAACTTGTGTTGCGCAAATCATGAAAACTGGCTAGCTTACGTGTAATCTCGTTTCTTGCCCCATCCGAGTTTGCGCACAAATTAACGTTGCGGCTAGTCTAATCTCAAAACAAGTCCCACATGGAAAGGAGTGACTAAGGTTGTTTAAGCACCAGCGCTACAAGCGTCGAATCGGGTATGCTGGTCATAGCAAGGGGTTAATCATCTACGGCCTAGGGGCCGACTAACCTCTCCCTTAGGCTTCGGCCGAGCTTCCTGATCAGTCTTTAAATCCAGGGATAGCGGTGTCGGGGTCGAAATCTCCGGCGTAGCCGTAAATGCTTCGGGCTGCCATACGACGGTTCAGCACTCGATGTCTGGAAGTATGGTCAATCAATAAAAATGATCACAAAAATAAAAATTTATTGCACCGGGCTTTAGTTGTTCCTTTCATCCTATTCCAAAAACAGTCAGTTTCCGAATTGAAATCAGAAGAACCACTGTGGACGGAAAAGATCAGTGCCTAAACGACCTTTCATGATTGTAAGCGGTATACATAGAAAGGGGGTGCATATGTAAATCATACATTATAAGTGTGAAAGGTGTAAAGCCACCTTAATTCAGCTTTGTAAGAAATAAATAACAAATTCCATTCGATTAAACTTCATATTATTTATTTATTTATTTCATATTTACATTTCTTACAAGAGGCGACAACTGATATGTAAAGGAAGGCTTATCAGCCCCGCCCACGAACACTTTATTTTTGTATCTATTATTAGTTACGTCATATCCTTAACGTTTCACTTAGTTACAACACGTCTCAATTCCACTTAGCGTTAGTATTAGTGTATGAAGTCGACGAGAACACATCTATTCGTGATCAAAGAGTTTAGAGTAGTTTTTTAGTTATCTTTGTTGGAGCAATAACCTATATCTTAACCTCGGCAAGCGGGACTGTTATGTAAGTACGCTTTGTTTCTCATAATAAGTTATAGTTTACGACAAGTTCTTGGATTGTAATAAACTTCAATTCGTCGTCAAGTGCTGTCCGTAAAATTATTCCCGAAATCTCCTCAATTACTCGTAAGCCCGTTC